TAGGGGTTCAGGGGTTTAGGGTTAATCAAGACGCCGGCTCACGAAACTAAGGATCCACGGTGGAGTCTGATAGGAAGTCAGTACATTACTTCCGGCAGGATCCATCTTTGCAACCATATAGTATATGGGGTCTGTCTGATTTGAATAGGTTTGGGGAAACATTATACTATGATATGCTATGACTAGCTGTGTTTGGGACCACAAGGCATACTACTGCTACTCATTCTTATTGTTTGGGAATTTGGTCCCGCAAGACCATCTCTCTTGGCGTGTTGGACACCAATCACACGATGGTAGTGTTGTGGACGCTCTGGCACTACGTACTGTTGATGATAAAAGTCCTGCATTACCTTAAGGGCCCTAAGCTATGGGAATTCCGGTATATTCCTTATCATGGGTAATGCAGGATTTGTATCATCAACCGTATGTCAACGAAACCGGAATTGACCAAGTAAGCCCAATTTCACAACAACTCTAAAACCTACTTTTGAACCCTAAACCCTAAGCCCCTGAACCCCTAAACTTGGCCCTAAACCCTTGCTAAACCCTCAACCCTACTACCACGCAGAAAGCTTCCAGGACGGGACCCCCAAGAGCCGAGTTTCTATTGGGCTCTTAGTAAATAGAATAGGGTTTTGGGGCCCATTATACTATAGGAGTAGACCTGAAATTATAAGGGCTCCTCAGTATGAGTTAAGATATACCTGGAGCCTCATGCTCCTACCTTGTTAGGGCTCCGTATTATGAGTTCCTTACAGAAGTCCTGAAAAGGGTTACTATATAGGGCCTGTAAGGGAATAATGTTATAATGTTCAGGGTTCTACAATAGGGGCTTGGAACACTAGAACAAGGGCTTTGGGGTATGACATAGCATGTCAGCATGGACTGTAAGGGGAAGTTTTCGTTACTCCTCGTTATATGGCTTCGAGCTTGATGGGACTGGGATATCCGGTGGACATACAGCTTGGCATCCTCGAACCCCTCTGAGGCAGCCAGTTGCAGTTCAGAGTTTACGGTTTAGGGCTTGGGTACCCCCACCGGTCGGGAACTGATAGACATCAACCGAACACCTGCCTGCCAACATCAGTGGGTAATATAGGGGCGGGTTTTGGGGGCTCCTTATTCTGATAATAATATAATATACCCCCAAACCCTATTCTAATTATTAAGACCCCTATATTATATAATCAGTTGTGATGACAAGAAACCCGCCATGCAACGGTGCCGAAGCTTCCTTACCTGTGGTGGCTCCTGTTTTCGAGGTTCAAGCTTGGCAAGTGGCACCTCTGAAGTGGTATGCAAGAAGGGTGAGACCTATGGCCCAGAAGCCTAAGCCGAGCCTTTGGCTCGAATCACTCATTCTGCAGGAACTTGACGCAAATCTTCGACTTCTGTTCGCAGACTCATGCGAAATGCAATCTTGCAAAGGGAAAGACAGCCACGACTGATTGTCGCCCACGCAGCCGACATCGTAATGCAGCTCCTCGACGACACCCTCATGGCATGCGAACGTACGTCGGTGCTGATGATCGCACACTCCCAGCTCCAGCACATTGGTTTCCAAAATGGTGCCGGAACAGTCTTCGGAATCATACACTTGCTCAACGACAGCATCATAAAAACTCATCGTCCATTTCGCGTAGCGGGACTCGTTCTGAATCTCCGACGCTTCAGCATCAAGAACACAATCGTCGGTTGAGATCACCTCACTGCGGTTTAGAGGCCCGCTGCAGGACACGTCCGAGGAATCGTAATATCGGTAAACAATCCGTCGGGAATACAGAAGCACTTTGTAGTTCTGTGGCACCATACAGACCCTCGCAATGTCTTTCGAGGCAGCAACGCCGCTGCCGTTAGCGCACTTATCGGACGTGTACAGCTCACGAACCGCGAAGGGCGCTTTCTGCGTGGACACCACAAGGGCCAGCATGAAAGGATTCGCATGGTACATCATGCCCTAAACCCCTAAACCCTAAACCCCAAACCCTAAACCCTAAACCGGTGCACAGGGCAAACCCTCCTCAAATGGAACAAACACCGAACCTAAGCGCGGTTCCTTAAAGGGTCCCTTTAAAGGGGCTACTATAAGGGCTACTACAATGGTTCAGGGTATAGGGGCCTTAATAATTAGAATAGGGTTTGGGGGGTTTCTGATTATAAGTATCGTATATTTCTTGTGTGGGAGCTTTAGATGGAACATGTAACGTCTGGAACTGTGACCGGGTAGAGCATGAGCTCCTGCTAGAAGTGACAATCCGCTTGACCTAAAACTTCAACCTGATTTCTGGCCTTCTCCTAGATAAGAATAGTTTCCTCTTCTCTTCCTCATTATACATGTAGTAGAAAATGTACCCGAAAGCCCTAGTTGTTGTCAACATGGTATGATCCAGGCAGCATCGGATGCAGGAAAACATGCACTGGGCTCTGCAATCTACATAATCACACCATGCATGAGGCGTGATTCGCAGGGGCATGACCTTGCTATATTGTGACAGACATTGCTACTGGACTAAATCGCTTTATGCAGCTGTTGGACATCGGACAGTCTAATATAGCGGCCTGAATACTTAGAATAGGGTTTGGGGGCCCATTATACTATACTTATAATAGGGTTTTGGGGCCCACTATACCATACTTGTAAGAAGGAACCCCCAAAATAGTATTGGTAATCATTTAATTTAGGCTCCTGTATTACCAAAAGCACGTGCCCCACATGTGTATCAGTCCCGAACCCAGCTTCACGAAGCTTGTCTCGACCTAATATATCGGCTTTCGGTTTAGGGTTTAGGGTTTAGGGTTTAGGGAGCAATAGTCAAAACCTTAGTCTAACTAAGGCCCCTACATTAAACCCTAAGCCCTAGACTCGACTACCGAGTTTTGATTTCTGGTGTTCGAGGGCTGAACGGAAGGCGTGATCTGCGGTGCGAAGATTGGGCCTGTTATTTGTGCAGACTTTTTGCTTCGGGTCCTTTACGTTTATATAGTAGGGTGTATTATGGTATACAAGACGATAACTACAAGACGGAGACCGGAAAGAATTTCCTACGTCCATCTTATGATCATGTCTACCAGTCCTAGTCCAAGCCTTGCTCCTCAACAGGAACGGACCCTAAACCCTAAACCCTAAACCCAGTTTACCAATCTTTCAAAGAACGGCCACAGACTCGACTGGATGCTCACAGCGCGCACAAACCAGATGCTATGCAGACTTCGTTACGCATGAACAGAAGAAGAAAAAACAGAATTGCGATGCCAAAAAGTAAGCACAGTAATTATGTTCATAATAACAATAATAATAACAATAAGAACAGTATTAGTAACAGTAATAGTACTGCGTAATAAAAGAACAATAATTTGTAAGACTGAATACCAATATTTACAATAATGAGAGTACTGTTAATATCAATAACAAGTATGACTAACAACAATGATAGAAAACAACAATACTGAGAATAACAAGCACTATACTGGTCATCCTGCCAACAATAGTGACTATAATAAGAGTAGCAGCAAGGTGCATACTATACGAGCCTAAGTAATTACCAATACTATTTTGGGGATTCCGTACTATAGTTGTAGGTTTTATTTGCCCTAAAACCCTGTTCCAATTATTAAGGCTTCTACATTATACACATAACAAGACATAGCAACAAACGCATCAGAAAGGCCTCGTGCAAATTCAGCGATGCACGGAAACTTGGTTACTCACGAGTTTACCAACCATACAGGGTCCATGCTGTAGGATTTGCGGTTAATATAGGAGCCTTAACAATTAAAATAGGGTATTCGGGCCCATCGTACTATAGTTATAGTAAAGATCCCCCAAGAGAGTATAGGCAATTATTTTAGCATTAAGGGTTTTAGGTCAGGGCTTAGGGATGAAAGGGTCGCAGGCTCCTTCGACATTGCAAGATCGCGTCTGCCGCTCAGACACAAGTGCCCCGACACCCCCAAACCGAAACCCCAAATCCCCAAATCCAAAACCCCAACCACGAACCCCGAAACCCCAAACCAAAAACCCCAAAACTCGAAACCCAGAACCCCAAAATCCCATCCATAGTTGCTTGTAGAAGAAGGCCCCTAAACCCTAAACCCTTAGAGTAGCCCTTATAGAAACCCTTTAAGGAACCCTTCAAAGGACCCCCCCCCAAAACCCCTATTCTAGTTCCTAAGTTGGCCCCTAAACTCTAAAACCCTAAAACCCTAAGCCCTAAGCCCTAAGCCCTAAACCCTCAATTTTAGAATCCTTCAAAGGAACCACAAAAAACTCCGAGTACGTAGCGACTTTGCCTCGTCGCAGGGCCAAACGCGGGCACCGTGGCTGATGAGCCTGGTCAAACGGCCACGGTTTAAGGTTTAGGGTTTAGGGTCAGGGTTTAGGATCAGGGTTTAGGGTT